AAAAAAAAAAAAAAAAAAAAAAAATGTATAATGATTACCTCTGTCCTTAAATTAACCAATTCAGTTTCAATCGTCAAGTGCGCCGAGTTGCTAAATTACGCGCGAGTCAGAGAAAACAGATTGCGTGTGTAGAGGGTTTTTGACGACCGGGAGAACGGGTAGATAATAATATATTGCGGTAACCCGAAATATCGCTCGACTTTCTACGGTCTTTACAGCCCTTGATGTGGCGGACACAATGTTGTCGCGGCAGCGTCGTCGAAAACGCAAAAATCGATACATATTTTTTTTTACGGGAGATTCATTATCAACTGCAGGCTATAATATTGTACGGAAATTACACGTTGTCCGCGACCACGGCCCGGACGAATATCAAGGCTCGTGTCGTCGTCATTCGTGATCGTCTACACGGAACATCGGTGCGGCGACGGGTCGCGCGCATCCCATTAACCGCGACCGTGTACGCTAATAACGAGGCCGCTATCTGGCCGCGGCCATCTCCCGTTTCGTTCTGTTCTCGGCGCGAGCCGCCGGAGTTGTTGAACTCTGGGAGGGCTGCTCGCGCGAACGCAAGCAACCATTATAATACTGTAGGTAGATAGGTAGGTAGGCAGGCAGGTGGGTGGACAGGTATGGGTACCGGTGTACAATAATATTATCACAAGGATGCGCGAAACACGACCTCTCCGGGACATTCCTCGTTCTCCCGGTCCGATCGCCCCCGCAGCTTTGAACCGGCCGACCTATCCGACGACGACAGCAAAACCGTAACGTTTGTAATACTTTAAGGTTGCGGAATTGTTAACCTGTATGCACGTATACAGTAAACGTTGTGGCGCAATGAACGGCCTAGATTACTGGCTGTGCAGAGCTACGAGTGATAATAGAACAATTAGCCGCGGTCATGTTGTCGGTTGATAACAATACGTGAACGGAAAACGGAGTTATTGTTGAAAAGCGATTTTTCTACATGAATGTATTCGTTTTGAACGTGACGGTTTCGGCGATTATTCCTGTTCGACGGCGGAAAGTTCGGAACTAATTTTAGACGTTAAGCTGGCGCGGTGAAGCCTGATTTTCTAGGCCTACGCTCAACGAAATTTGGGAGGAGGGTAGATGTTGATGTGAAAAACTACTAAACCATAGAACTGTGAATTTACTACAATAGTTATTTATTTATTAACGGTGATCAGCGAATTATTAATTATTGTTGGGTCTTAGACAAAGTTAAATGTTCTACGCCACTGGCTGATGAACCGGTACACTGTTTGTGATTTGACCCCTAATGCAGATACAGCGTATAGTATAAAATCTTGTAGTACTTATTTCACTACGAACGACTCGCGCGAGTCTGTCTCGGTTTGCGTCGGCATCTGCTGTGCATTGCTGGTAGTAACCAAATACCGTTAACCGCGCCGGGCTGCAGCGCGTCGCTAATAATACTTGGTCGTTATCAGACGGCGGCCATCTCGAAGCGATAAGAGCCGACGTGCTCTTTGGAAAATGTTCCCGGAGTTGTTGAACTCTCGCTGTGTGGAGGGGCGGGACCGGGAATAGGGAGGCTCTTCTGCTTGCAGTAGTGGCGTCTGCGTGTCCGAAAATTAACAGGCTGGGAGCCAAACGCGACCGACTACGAGTATTATCTCTACATATTAATAAAACGAAATATATTATACTCACGTCATCGGGATTCGAAAAAGAAGCAAACGGAAAGTGACATTTTAAACAATTTACCCTTTTTCTACCCAGTTTTTAGATTCTAAGCAATACGAAGAAACAGTTGGTTTTTTTAAAAAAAAAATATTTTTTTCTCATAAAACATTTTTTTTTTTTTTGTGAAGTAGTAAAAATGCTCTAATTTTCATACCCAATGTACTTCAGAATATACCCGTGCATATTTTCTACCTGAACTCTATTTGAAAATCTACCGAAATTATAAGCAATTTACCCCAGCGGTTCTTTTTTCGTTAATTTCTCGGTTGCCTTGGTAACGACGGAGAAAAATTACCATTATGCTACTCCGTTTATAATCGTTTTTTCGTTCGCAATGATTTATCGTTACATACAGTGTAACAACTAAACTGCTTTGTAAATCACATCTTTCCAACTACCCACCTGCAGCAGTATACTAAACGTAAGCTGTATACATATTTTTTTTTGCATTCATACAAACTAAAATTTATCAATATTCTCGCAGTTTTTTCATGAAAATGTCACATTTTGACTTTACGGTTTTTTTTTCCGGGAATAAACAAACGAAAAAACTGTAAGGTTTACGGAAATATTATTTAGCGTAATGTAATAATTTTGTTTTTTTTTTTTTATGCTTATTCAAGTAAAAATTCTTTCGATTTTAAAAATCGCAAAAATCACGGAATTTTCAGACACGTTTAACCAAGCCTCGTTCTGCAGAACCTAACCCTAGCTACGTATCACATCTTCTCAACTTCTTACCTTGGCACATCCATTAGCGGTATTAGAAGAGTCTTTCCCCCCCCCAGTTTTCCTCTGTTATAATATGTTCGCGCTCCGGAATCGTATGCAACTGAAACGTCGGTATTTATAATATATAGTCACACACTTCATGACGACCATATCGCGTACACGAAGAGCACTGAAACGCGTAGTGTTCATAATCGAATTACACGTCGCGCGTCATATGAAAAATTACAGTAACAGTAGCTGCCGAAATTTCCGGGAAGAACTGCGCGTAATATTTTCCCCGTATACTTTTGAATTTACGACTCTGGAAAGAGCAGCCGCGGCCGTACATTTTTCCTAGCGCGCGCGCACTCACACACACACACACACACATACACAATACGTTTTATAAAGGAAAACTAATTCTTTTTACGAATAGTTTTTCCATTATTTGCTCACCATGGAGGCGCGCCTAAAAGGTATAATACATCAGCGGAAAGTTTTTATTTTCCGGGGATAATATACGAACATCACACAAAGTCTCGTCTATAATATTATTACTACCACTACTACAACTATTATTATTGTTATTATTATTATAGAACTGTGTTATTGCCATCGTCGTAGAATGTATACTTTCGGAAACTATACATACAATATTTTATTATTTATTGTCACCTCGAGGAGCTTCGGGTATAATAATATATTATAATAATGTCTCAGTATTCGTTTAAAATATTATATATCGTATTCGATATATATTGTGTATATAGAGATTTTCTTTTTCTTTTTTTCGCGTCGCCGTTTGTATTTTCACGCGACGATATTGCAGTATTTCGATCGAGCGAATATATTACAATAATTTAACCTTGCTCAAAGAGTGGCCAAACTTTTTTTTATTTTTTTTTTCCCCCAAGTCCGTCCTAATATTATTTCCGGTTAAGTTTTTCGGTTCTGCCGAATATTCGCTCAACTCTGTTAGTATTATTTCAGTCTTTCGACTGGTATATTACTTTTCTACTTACGATACTCCAGTCGCTACTATTCATTTCTATTTTTTTTTTTTATATCTACTATGTATTTTAGGTCTTGGTCTTTGCAGGTTTGTGAGATAGACTCCGTTCGTCGTCGGCCTAACCACTCCGATTTTCGTGTTTTATAATACCTGTATACTTTCATATTCCTTTGTACTTTGACTTTTTATAGGTACATATTCATTTGATCCTGTCTATCTGTCTAACTTATTTTTTGCATAGAAACCTATTTTTTAAGAGCGTTTGTTGATTTTTACTCCTTAAATATTACGATTATATAATACGAGTCCAAAACCCATTAATAAGAGTATAATACACTAGTATACAGTGTTTTTTTTTTCAAGTTCGTTTTAAAAAAAAATGAATTGTCACTTGTTGTCATAATTTATTCGTTGATCAAAAATAAAAAAAATAAAATATAATTTAATATTATATTACGAGCTACGTCTGCTTTTGTGATATAGAATATTAAGACTATACTGTTCCAACGATTTGCCTCCAGGTATCCCTATCTAAAGAGATACATTCTTCCAATCAACTTCTGGCTTTACTTTTCCAGAATATCTTCCAACACCTTATCTTTCAATCTTCGCCTCATGCCTTCAAGCGGTACTTTGCGCTGTGGTGCATTGTCTATAGTACCGTTCTCAGCAACGATCACCTATAATAAAAGTTCAGTGTAGTTTAAAGCCAATTTATTATTATTATTAGTTATTTACGAGATCTATAGGTACCCAATAAAAATAGTCGCTCTTCCTTTTTGTCTGTCTAAACGGACGTCTCGGTATATACGGGAATAGTCGCATATACACATATAATATACACATTCAGAACAAATCGTATAATAAAAATAGAAAATTCGAAAAATAATCGAATACGAGTATTATATAAATTCGTATTAGGTATATATTATATCATATGTATAGCGGGGAAAAACGATTTATTTGCAGCGGAGTTGCTGCAGCTATAGCAGTCTTCTTTTTTTTCCCACACCGCACTGATGCCGCTGCTGCTGCTGCTATATTGTAGTCGGTCGCGATCAAAAGGAAAAACTTATTTCCTTTCGGTTCGCGTATATATATATATATATAGAATTTATAGTAAAGACGCGACCCAATAAATCTGCCAACAAATCTACTGTTTAGGTAGTATGTATATATAGTTCCTCTGCTCCTCATCCACAACGTTTATCTGCGAATTTCCATGTCACCGTGTTTCCGGTATCGTTTTCTTGTTGATTCTACCCGCCACCGCCGGTTTATTTATTTATTTTTTATTTTTTCCTCTTTTCTCCACTACCCCGCCGCGCACGTATAACAACCTACATCCATCATTCTATACAGTCGCGAGTTCAAACGGGGCACCCGCCGTCACCTCGTCGTTCCTTTTTATTTTCGTTTGTATATAATACGTATCCGCCGTACGATTCCAAAATACTCTGCCAGAAGAGCTGCACACCGGCTATTATTGTATATATCGTGATTATTATAGAGTGACGGGTGGGCGATGGATTGGGGGGGGAGGGAGAGGGAGTGGACGTGTGCACATTTTTACGAGTTTCCGGTGTATACATTTTGTTGTTATTACGCGCGGATTTCGCACGTCGCGAAAAAAAATATAGCCACGTGCGATTAATGTAATATTTTTAGACTTTTAGTATTTTAGAAAAATAAAAATAAAATGCCACCGACCGTGTAACAAGAATAATTGCGTGTCTACCGATTATCGTGTTAACACGCTGCACCGCCGAGACTGACGTAATAGTAGGTATAATATATACCTATACTTATTATAATATATATTTCTCGGGTCCGAAAATGACCTATAAAACAAAACCCAAACGAAAATACGCGATACCTACGCGCGTTTAGGAGGTCAACTACCGAGTATACGGCCGGTAATTATATATATGTACACTGGAAGGAGGAGCGAAAATCGTTACGTTTTCAAAATACTTCCCTGTGAAAAAAAAAATCTTTAACAAATAACTCTGAAAGTTCATTGTCTTATACACTCGTATGTTTATATTGCTTTCGTGGTGGCAAATTCAATAAATTTGAAAATCGAATTTTCAACATATCCGCATTTTACCTTTTTGGACTCATCTAAAAATCCTAGAGAATTTACTAGTAATTTTAAAAGCACTACATGGTTTTCAAAATTGTTTTACTTTAGCGATAAAATATGCAGAACATACAAATTACTAATACTGCATTCTAGTCATATTTTTGACAATTTGGTAGTTAATGCACTTGCCACTACGAATACAGTTTCTTGTATTCTTGTCATCTTAGTCTGTCATTTATTAAAAATCAAGACAAAATCAATACTACATATATTCATAATTTTATTAGACCTTCTCTCATATATGGATGTGAAGTGTAAAAGACAAGTGTGACACTAAGAAGACTTAGAACAATTGAAAATAAAACACGAACAATTATTTTTAGACTAGTTCTTGACACAAGGACAAATTAATGGAAAAGGAACTTCAAGAAAAACAGGCCCTAGGTCCAGTCACTAGCTAAATAAAGGGTCAAAGCATGAAATTGTTGAGAAAAGTCATAAGAAGAACTAAAAAAGAAATCATACAGTCTAATTTGTAGATTTCAATCGAAATTGTAATAGAACGCAATGAAAAGCAATCTGATTATTAATCAGATTAATTGAATTTGATGAGAAACATCAAAATCCATCGAACTATTCACTTGATTGATAACCTATAGGTTGTAAAGGAACACACGAATTAACCGCACAATCATTTTGAAATCTTGATTTCTACCAAATTCTAGAAAACTTTATAATTGATAACGAACAAAATTTTCTTTTTTCAAAATCAAAATACAAATATGTTGGTTATTTTTGTTATCTAAATAATCTAATTGTTACGCATCTTTTACTTTTATTTGAATAATTATTTTAACATGCTGAAAAAAGTAAAATTCAAAAAATAGAGAATCAAACTGAAATGTTCTCATCCGAATATCTGATAGGTACTTACTCGAATGCAAAAAACGGTTCTCCATCGCATCTGGTATACGATCATTTATTTTTTTTTTTTTAATTATTCCTAGTAGCCGCGACATTTTTTCAAAATTATTTTGCTTGTTTGATAACTATTGTTGTCTCGTCAAACTAAAAACGTAGGTATACGTATAATATTTATAGCATGACTTTCGATTATAAACTATGACGAAATGAAAAAAAAAAACCATCGGTTCGATGATATAAAACTTCAACCTTTGTTTGCAGCACTTTCGATCAAATAAAAGAGGGGATCGGTTTTTTTATATTATTTTTTTTTTTTACGGTTATATTTTTCGAACCTGCAGCGGGTCTATAATGGGAATAATAATATATTTTTAGTCGTCTCTCTATACTCGGTCGTTAATATTTTCAAGCCTCGCATTAATGATAATCGGTCCGGCGACGTCACGGGACAGTTTATGTAACGCTCATGTTCGTTGTCAATTTTATGCCGGGCGGCGGTGGTGGCGGCGGCGGCTTGAAAATCGGCCAACTGTGGCAGCAACAGCTTCGGTATAGTCTCTCGTATATTAACGGGTTTAAAATTAGACCGAGAGGGACTTTTTCGCCGAATTTTCGCCTTACAACAACGATATTTTCATTCATAATTCATTTTTTTATTATTTTTTTCGCAGACCCCCCCTTCCCCGTTCTTGACCGCTATATATAATATCGCCTATAACCCCGTTTTGTTTCCGCCCTCGTCGTCGATGTTTTATTTATGCCGCCCCGAGACGGCGAATATTATCGCCGCATTCGTGCAGCTCGCATGTTGATATCCCATGAATTACGTGTTAATTGCGGTCGCATATTATAATAATATATCATAGACACAGAACATTATACTCGGGTTGTTTTCAGTTCCGCGGTGAAAATATTAACAAATGCAAAAAAAAAAAAAAAACATACAAATATGTATATATATATATATATATTTATATGTATACAACATTATAAAACCACCTCGTAAAATTAAAAAAAAAAAAAGTCCACCGTTAAAATATTATTGATTACGATGGTTTATACATACGAAAAATTTCAATGGGAGGAAAAAAAACGTACTTAATATATAATATAAAATGCGAGGGTTTCGTATTATATTGAAAACTTTATAAAAATATAATAGTCAGGTTTTCAAGTCAGTGAATTCAATATTTTTCCAGGCAAGTTCTATCCCTCGGCACAATATTCCTAGGATTATTTTACCTCGTCGTGGGAGGGTGGTATAATTATCCTAGAAAAATCTTATCGGGAACCAGGTACGACTAGGAAAATCGTACTTTCCCCAGTATAATTATAAATCCAAGCAAATCTTACCACCATCCGGTAACATTATCCAGGGGTTAGCTCTACATCACGGTACGAAACCCTATTAATAACTTGTGTACAATTAATATCACTAGTACATTAATTTGAACCATTTCTTTTGGTATAATTTTGGCGTTTTTATAAGTTAAACGTGCGAAAATCTACCGATTTGTTGTTAGGCATTAAAAGCCTGCCGAAGGGTAATTAATAAACTGCAGCGAGAGAGACTGCAGGTGGCGATATATAGTTTATCGTTCTCAAGATTATTTTCAAATAATAATAATTGTTAGGTAATAATAAAATATTATAATTTCCGAACATTTTCAAAGATTTGCATTTATATTGCATTTTAAACTTTACCTACTGTATACAGCTGCGGTTTTATAAATTATTCATATAGTTAGGTACCTACCTGCAGATACCTATATAATATAATATTTTATTTTATTAATATTTTACGTCACCTCAGCACGGCGGTGGCGGCGGCGGTGCGATAAGTGGACGGATAGGATTTAATACATTTTTCAACTAGCTACCTAAACTATGCAAATTATTAATATTAGTTACTATACGCCTATAACTAATTGACAAAAACGGCGAGGTATTATAAATTCTTTTTGAACGACAAATAACATACGCCGATAATGATGTAACTAACTCTCGCCACGGCGAATTAGCGTCTATTGCGAACAAGGAAAAATTAAAAAAAAAAAAAAAAAAAGTGATACTGTTGATTAGTATACCACTACAATTGTGTAGGTGAAAAGTTGTAAATACAGGATATCCTATATAGAGTAATTTAATGTATATCGCTGTACGTGACGATAAATCATCATTACTAATGGAAAATGATTCTGGGCGAAGTTTGGTTAAACGTCCACATTAAACCGAATTGCCAATTATATTGCAACTTACTTTTACACTTACACCATTGCACGCATCCATGTTACGCGTGCGTATCTCAATTTGTGAAGTTTTCACGTTTTATCATTTTTGTGATTTACAGTGTAAGTTGTAAGCATGGGTATATCAAACAAACTAAAATAACAGAACAAAAATTTCAAGAACAACCTGTTTTTGATAATTTATTAATATTAATAATAATCTTTTTTTACTAAATTTTGAGATAAGAATGTTTGTAATGTACAAAACGAGATGTAACAAATTAAACTCCAAAATTATTGAAAATTTCAAATTACTAAAAAATCTAAACGTTTTTAAAAATTGACCAGAAAGTGCTAACAATACAAATATTTGGTGAAATGTTCAGGTCCCTGCAATTACAATAATAATAATAAAAATAAAATTTGAAATGACATGAACCGTTATTTCGTGACTTTTCCCTCTTTCCGACGTTTCTTCTGGGTTTTCCTCATTATAATAAAAAAATTACCAGGAAAATTAAAAAACGACCTTCTTAATGCACCGACAAGACAAAATTTGCTACAAAATATGTTACCTTGTCGTTTTT